GTGTGGGCGGGGGTATCCATTCACGTGGCGTGGCTTGGCGGTTGCCGTGCTATCCTGCTGCCGCGCGGGGTCCTTCCCACTCCAGCATTCACCAAAGGCGGCAACAAGAAAGGTAGCGAGCCGACGGATGCACACCGCCGTGCACGTATTTGAGAGGATGCGTGCGCCCTCGCCAAATGCACGGTGGGACTCCACACGCCCGCGTCAGACTCCACACGCCTGCCTTCTCGTCGTCTCCCCTTCACGTTAACCTACTCCTGCCTTCTGCCCGCACATCGCCTTGTCCGTGAAACGAAGCTAGTCGGGCGCTGCACTCCACCACCCTTAACGGTCCTCGCCTTCCAGCGGGGTCACCACCTTGTGCGCGCAGTCGACCGCCCTCATCCCGCCGCGAAACGTGCAAGTGATTGTCCTTGAGTTGACAACACGACGTCGCCATCGCTGCCATCCTCGTCATCGTAGCTTTCCGTCTTCATCACCTTCGATTGTCATCTTTATCGCCATCATCTCCATCGTCAGCACGATCACGGCTATCATCTTTGTCGCCATCATCACTATCATCAACGCGATCGCCATGGACTGCGCCTCGTGATTTTTTTCTGCATTGCCATCGTCGCCGTCGTCGCCGTCGTCGTATTCGCCATTGTCGCCCTCCGGGCCATTGTTGCCATCCTCACCATCCTCGCCATTATCACAATCGTTGCCATCGTAGTCATCACCGATCTTTCGAAGCGCCAGTTCAGTCGTCGCCATCGCTGAGGAGCTTTCGGCTTTGTGACTAGTCAGTCGACGAGCAATTGTGTTTTGCATCATGTCGTCCCGCGATGTTGGACGAGGCATTGCGTGGCGCAAGACCGCCACCAACCAGGCAATGGAAGTGCCACTGCGGGAGAGAAAGGGCTGACACAGCGCCAACAAGAAGAGGAAGGCCGTCCAAGGCGGGCCCTCGGGCGCAGGAAGCAACACAGACGACGAATGGGCGGGGGAGGGGGTTACGCCGCAGGAGGAAAGTGACCTCCAGGAAGAGGAGGAAGCACCGTTGAAGAGGAAGACGCAGAGGCGGACACGGGGAAGCCTCCGAATTGAAGAGGGGGGATATGCAGGTCCTACCGAAAAATGAGGCGGGGGAGGCCGCACAGGCGCCGACGACGTCATCGACGTGGAAGCCGCAGCGGCATCAAGGGAGGACGTGCCAGGTGGCGTCGTACAGCCGCGTCGAGCGACCGTTCCGCATGTCAATGACGGCCCAGACGCGCACGAGTCTGCGCTCCGCGCACGAACACCAGCAACCCCACGCCCGTGGACGGGTGTAGATGTTGGAGGGACTTCGCAAGTCGTCGCTCAAGGGAACAGGAACCGTTCTCCTGCACAGGAGGCGCATGTGGCCGTTGTGGGGGGGGCTTCACACGCCGGGGATGCCGTGAGGGCAGGGGATGTCGGCGGAGAGGGGGAGGACGATGAAGCGCTGGTGAACAGGGTGCGGCGGCTGAATACGTGGGATGGAATGGAGGCCGCGGCGAAGCTATGGGTCGATGACTTGCGCTTTTGGAACGAAACGAAAGGGAACGCCATAGTAAAGTTAATACAGGAAGCGCGCCTGCATCTTGTGGCTGTGGCACAGGGAGTGCAGCCTCCGCCTGTTCGTCAAAGCATCGTCTTGCCTCACAGCAGCATCCCTCAACACAAAATCAAGGACGAGACGAAGTTGATTGCTGCGAAGGAGAGGGCGCTCAAGGTGCAAACCATCGGTTTGCGGGTTATCCACGGGTGGGTCCTCAAGTTCGTGAGCAGGCAACGGGGGTACCACGTTGCATACGGGTACGTGTTGAACAATGCGACCACTGATATCGCTCGAGCCATGTGGATGGGAGAGGACTGGCGTATTTGTGTCAGCCCCATGGTCTTCCACACACATTGGACATGGACATGAAGTTGCCAGTGTGGTTCGTCGCCGCCTGCATCGAGGACAGACACGAGAACGACGAGTTAGCGTTGTATAAAGAGGCGAGCATCCAGTGACTGGTGGCGGCTTTCACGAGCGCCGTCAGCATGGCGGAAGGGATCGACGGTGGGCGGGTGTCGTACGACAGTTTGAAGAACATTGCTGACGCGATGAGGATTATGCTCGTGGCAACCATGTGGCTCATGCGGATGAGCGGGGACGATCTGCGCGCACATTACGACGCGTGGCTTTTCGTCCAACTGACAACGAAGCCAATGCTAGTCGCATCCATGCATCGGTCATTCGAAGCGCATCGCCATATCCTCCGAGTCGCAACCGTCGGGACGGATAAATTGGGCCAAACCCCCGATGACATTGGTCGATCCCCCTTTGTACATCCCCGATTGGGCGTCTTGGGGCATCACATTCTCACATGACGCCACCTTGCCTTCCCCCATGGACGCCAAGAAGTTGGATTGGCTAGGAACAGGCCCCCCGGATGAGGAAGAAGAGGACAAAGCCGATGAAGAAGCCGGCGGGGGGGGGTTGATGAAGCGTCCATGGCGCCCGTCTTTGACGTAGCCGTCGTAGAATTTGTGGATTCTCATACGACGGGCGCGTCGTGGAGGCGACCATCGCAGGGTGGGATAGAGTGGTTGCCATGTCTCCCTAAGTAAGGCCGAAGTGTGCGGGTGCGTCGTCCATGTGTGTCTTCGCTGGGTACTTCTTTTTTTCCCCCCGCGCGCTGCTGCTCTGCCGCCGGTCGGTTGAAGACGGCAGACAACAATGACTGCTCGCCCTGCGTGTGGGGGCTTTTGATTTTATTTGGCTATGATGTCGTGTGTGTTTCGTGGCGCTGTAGTGTCCGGAGCCTGCACTCCGTGTTTGTAGTCGGCGTCGTGGACTCGCCAAAGGCGGGATGATCGTGGAAGTGGCCACAAGGGAGGTTCTCGCCACGGGGGCGTTGGGGTGAAGAGAAGGGTGGGGGGGCATGTAAGGGGGGGGGACGGGACAGTGGGGAAGCGGGGTTTGGGGGGAAGGGTCATGGGAGGGCACGATCTCGTGATGCGGGTCGTTGTTGGCGCGGTCCGCTTGTCGTAGGGGTGTGTCATGTTTCCTAACCTTGTTTTTTTATGGAGACATGAATGATCGATGTTCGCAGCTGTTAAAACGAACATGTAATTGTTCAATGATGTTAATGATGTGTACAACTTTGCGCTGCTTGTTCTTCTTCGTTTCATTGTACATGCGAAATGTTATAGCAGGTTTGTGAATGTGGTAAGGTTTGCTTTCTTGAACCGATGGCATGATAACAACGTCAGAGATGTTCATAGCAGGGTTCGGGAACACGAAACAAACAATGAACACATTGCAAATGTAAGATGGACACACGGCAATACAAATAAGACACACGACGTCGTGCAAATCTTTTTTTCTTTCAATCAGCGTACAAGAAGAAGAGAAGACACGCAATAGAAATGAACGACACTAGATGTTGCAAATTTGTTGTCACTCGCTGGAAAAGAAGAAGACAACACAGTTTGAAAAAAAAAAGGCCTTCATGGCTTGTTAAATCCCAAGTTTCGGAAAACAGAACACACACCTCCGAAATGGACTCCATGACCCTGACACCTCACCCGCGGTGACAGCGTACTACAACTAAACTACGATCGCCACGCACACGCTCGTGATGTGGCCCCCGCCGAGGATATGTTGGACTGGACTATTGCCATCCACCCGCACCGGCAACACTCTCCTAATGACCGCGCATCATAAAACAACACCAAAGGTAACTGGCCACACCCGCCGCCTCGTGTACGCCACCCCACAGCGAAACAACCCCCCCGCCATTAACTCCCCCGATCCACAAAACAAACCGACAGACAAAACGATGCCAATGCGGATGTTGACCCCTTCAAGGACACGTGGCCTTTCGCCACGGACGAACCACAAACTAACGGCGGCATATCGAAGGGCAGCCATTTCAGGATGACACGCTGCCGTCGGTGGAAGGGGGAACCGGGAACACCCATTCATGTACGGTATACGACCTCTTCGCTGGCTTCCCGCGTCGTCTGCGCCACTTTCTCGCCGCAAGCACGTCATCGCAGTCGCTCACTCCACACGCCTGACCATCTTCACTGCGCACTCATTCGCTCCGCCAGTGCATCCCGCAGAATCAGCGCATCCCCCGTCGATGACTCCATACACATTGGCCTCAAAGGCCGGTGTATCCCAATATCCACCCGACGACGCACACCACAGGGCCGACCTCCCACAGTAGATTGTCGTCGAATGGGATGCCCGCGTCGATCAGTATGTTGTGCAGAATGCACACCGCAACGAACTGCTGCAGCAACGTATCCATGTTCGTCTTACTATGGGAGCGAAGAAACAACCTCCACATCCCCTTCAATCTGTTGAACGCCCTCTCGACTGCCCCCCTTGCCGTCTTCTACTTGTTGTCAAAGTGCAACTACGACGGGTGCGCTGTGAGACCGCCATACGGGACGACTACCCATTTGAAGGGGGGATAACCTGCTTAGCAAATACCCGTGAAAAGCTCCCCTGCCTCCGCGCGCGCCCATAAACTGTACAGGTGGATGATCCTGGCGTCGTGGCAACTTCCTGGATGACCGACAAACACGTCGAGCACGCGCAAGTTAAGATCGACGACCACCTGCGCCTGGACGGAGAATCGCCATTTTTTATCCGAGTAGTCCTCCCCGGGGGCGTTCGTGGGCTTGTTGATCTAGATGTGGGTGCAGTCGATGCACCCATGGCAGTTCAGGAAACCCTTGTCAGCGAAAGCACACAAGACGACCGCTTTCTGCAACCCCATCCACCACGATATCTTGTCGGGGTATGCACTCAGCAACGCCGCAGTCACATCCCGCACATCCCCCAACCCAGATGATCTACCAATGCCGAAGTTGCATGTCCCGCGCTCATACGTCTCCCCTGATGCCCACCTGTACAAAGCGTACGCGACAATCTGGCCAGGCTGCAACGGCTCCCTATAGAAAGTGAAACGTCGCTGTAGGAATGGAGACAGAGCTTCCACGATCTCTCGGAACACACGTGGCGACATGCGCAGCTTCTCCCTGAAGTAGTCAGCCATCGCGTCGTCGCATTGCCGCAGATCCTCCCACGTCCCCCCTATCCGTCACTTCATCCCCACCTGGGCTGTGGGGGATCGCGTTCATGCAGCTGCGATCAGTGCTGCACGGTGCCAAGACCTAGGGTTGGGATGGCGGAGGTGGTGGGTGAGAAGAGGCGCGTGGGCGCAGGGTGGGGACTGCCTTGAGGAAGCACTGGAATGCTTTTGCCATATCCTGGTCCCGGTCGGTGTATGCTGGCATTCCTGGAGAGACTACGGGAGGATGGAGGAGATGTGTGGTGGTCCGAAGGGCGGGATCTGGGCGTCGCACATACCAGTATGCGAAACCTGTCAGGGACTTTTCCCCTGGCCTTGATACGGAGTCAGAAACTGAAAATTCACGGGATGATGAGAGATGCGTGTGCATCGACGAGCGCCGGCTTCCATGAGAGCGACACTAGAGCTTGGTTGTGACTGGTATCGCCCACCGTCATTGACAACGGGCTTTAAGCCGCGATCGGCATCGCTTTGTGTTGCTGATGCTCCTACTTCGGGTGTGGTGTAGCTTGCGAACTCTTTATCCTTACTTGGTTCTTTTCAATTATACAGATTATGAGGGTTAATTCGTTTATGATTGGTGTGCGTAGTGGGTATTTGGTTTTCGTTTATTTGCCTATGAGCTAGTTAGAGTTTAATTCTGTTGGTCTTTTTGAGTGGTTGGGGTGTAGATTTGGTCGAGTTTTCCTTTTGATGGTTTGAGTTTGTTTGTGATTTAGTGTTAGGGTTGGCGATTTTAATTAGTGTTAATTAGGTTGTGATGTTAATTACAGTTAATTACGGTGTGACGTTGCAGGCTAACGGGTGCTCAGCCGCGGTGGGGTGAATCCAGGCCGAAGAGCCTGGCTCATCCCTGGGGGCGGTGGTTATTGATGTGAGGGACGCTGGGCCCGTTTCCCAGCCTGTGATGATATGATATACTCCTTAAAGGAAAAAAAAAGAAAGATACACATATATTAATTTTCATGGCATTTGTCACAGCCAAAAAAAAAAAAAAAAAAACATCGCCAAAGATGGCGGTGTCAAAAACGTGCTCGCCCACTCAATAATTTCATTCTCGTTTTATTTTTTCTAATTTTCATTATTATTATTTATTTTTAGTATTTGACTTTTATTTCAAATTCGGTAAAGAATTTGGATGTAACGTTGAGGCAAATGTTGTTTTGTTTAGTCTTCTGCATAACATGTATTTGTTTCAGATTTTTTGGATTTCTTTTGTTTTTTTTTTTGTTTTTTTTTGTTTTTTTGTGTCCACGTTCGGGCGTTCGGGTTCGGGCGTTCGGCCCGCCCCGAACGCCGGCAACCTTGTATATATGTATACTTTTAATCTTATTGGCCCAGCGGGGCAAGTGACCCCTGGCCACTCTGGTAGCCTAGGTGCATATGCAATTTCAATTCCTGCTTTTGCTCACGGAAAAGGAAAACATTTTCCTGTCTTCCACAGCAGTCCCTGGCTCCTTTTTCCTGTCTTCCACAGTAGTTCCTGGCTCCTTTTCCTGTCTTCCACAGTAGTCCCTGGCTCCTTTTCCTGTCTTCCACAGTAGTCCCTGGCTCGCAAGATTGACGTAAGGATTGTCAATGTCTTTGAATCAGGGGATGCTCACACTAGGACTTTTTCAGCTTCACTATGGGCGGAGTTGGGGTCAGGTGCATCCTGACCGTGCCACGAAAGCAGGCAAATACATCCAGGAAAAGTCCTAGTAGTATAGTATATAGTATATCCAGAGTTGGATTCGAAAAAAGCTGCTTCATTGAGGGGGCAGCGCTATATCATAGTATATCCTAACCTCCAATGCCACCAGCTCCACATCCGGCACTTGGTGCCTCTGCTTTGGCTCCTCTGCCCCTTCAATGCCCCTATTCACGTCCACATCCAGATGGCCCGTATTCACGTCCATATTCCGGATTCAAGTCCACATCCCGGTGCCATTCTTTTTTTTTTCTTTCTTTTTTCTTTTTTTTTTCTTTTTTTTTCCGGTGCCATTCTTGGATGTACAACGCAGTTCGCTAGCCCTGCTGGGTAGCTAGGAGTCCAACAGAATAATTCTCCAGTCCCTCGGCCAGCTGTCACACCTCTGACTGGCTTGCCTATCACCACTTGCTACTTCTTTTCTGTTCCAAAACCTCAGAGACAGTAAGGGCATACTCACACGGGGACCTATAATCCCAAAATCCCAAAAAAAGGGTAAAAGGCGGGTCACACGGATCTACCAAATTGGCAAATGTACTATTCCAGTGCCCATTTGTCAGCAGCCTGGGAAGCTGTGGGGCAAGGGATTTTGCGGTCACCTCTAGAGGTGACCGCAAATGCCCTTTTTCATTTTTTGCATTTTTCTTCGAAAAATGGCAAAATTTCGTTCACAAAAGTTCTTGCACAATTACTGGATGGCGCCGTGTGACCAGCCAAGTACCAAATCCCCATTTCTCCAGACGGCCGCGACCTTGTCCCATCTGAAAAGGCACAGCAGTGTGACGTGAACCACGCCCAAAACCTCAAATCGGCCCTTCCCAAATTGCGGATTTGGGGTCGCCGTGTGAGTATGCCCTAATACAGTATTAGGGCCCGTCATGTCCAGATTCAACAGGCAATTGGGGGGGTAAAAAAGACAAAGAAAAAGAAAAAGAAAAAGAAAAACAGTATTAGGAAAGCCAGCCGTAAAAAAAAAAGAGGGGGAAACTACACGGGAGTCACAAAAATGAGTTATAAACTAGGCTACCAGCCGGGCCGCCCGGGTCCCGGGTGGCCAGCGCGTGCAAGGACCAGGGAAGATCCCAGCGCAAAAAAAAAAAAAAAAAAAAAAAAAAAAAAATCCGAAAGAAAAACAATGTTAATAATGTTATGCAGAACAATAAACTGAACAACTGTTGCCTCAGGGTCACATGAAATTCTTCACCAAATTTAGAATAAAAAATAAATTTAATTTTTTTTTTTTTTTATGTTTGTGTTTTTATTTTTATTTGGCCTGGCCGGGCAAGTGACCCCAGGCCACTCTGGTAGCCTAGGTTATAAATGTATACGACCCAGCTTTCTGGCCAGGTAGGGTGCCCGAAGTGCAATTGCAAACTGTATCCTGCTCCATAGTGCAATTCGTATAAGGGCCTCGTTAGACCCTCCTTGAAAATCCTCAGGAATGTCCAAAGTTATGGTTACACCGCGTCCTAAAAAACAAAAATCCTTGAAAAAATGTGAAAACGCTCCCAAGAGATTTCCTTGGGTCCCTCGGAATCCCCAGCCATTGCGTCCTTGGATTCAAGGGGTCCTCGAGAGGTCCCTTGGGCTCAAGGATCCGCGATAGACGGGCCGCCGTCGAGCGTGCGTCGTGACGGGAAGTTTCGATTTTTGCTGGTGCACATGACGTCCGTGGTCCATCGGGCGAACAATACTGGGTTGCTGCCGGCGGGAGGTCACCAACGGCCTTCTGGTGTTACCGTTCGCGCGTACACGACCAGGTGTCCCGCTTCAGGTGCAACAGACGTCGGAGCGGCGGGGTTCTCCTTCTGCACTTCGTCGGGCGTTGTGTCCAACGGTCGAATATTTCGAAATGTGTTTTATGTGCGGGGTGTGATGTTGTCGCCGGCCGCCCCGTTTGTTGCCATTCGCGTGCGCGCGTGAGGGTTGTCCGTTCGGGTGGTCATCTACACGTGGTGTGTTTCATGGCAGACATCTTCCGGCGGCTACCGCTCCTGTTACTAGCATCTCTTCTGCTGCTTCTTCTCGTCTTTTTGCGCGCCTTCGTCGTGACGYGGCCTCCTRGGCGTAGAYAGAGACGASAAGTGGATAGGAAGACGACGATGGACAGGCGGGACAGCTCCGTCGGACAGCAGAGACGTGTGATGGATTTCTCCATTCCTGATCGGCCCCGGTCCGGCCATCGACCCGCCGCATACGACCCGTCCTTGTACAGTCATCTTCCACCGCACGAACAGCCGCTACCGYCGGATCCGGAGGACGYMTGGGTTGAGGATYTGTCGCACACACTTCCTCTGGGGAGTGGATCTACGCAGGAGTGGACGAGCAGGCAGTGCCAGCAGARGGAAGCARGGACCWCGCGCGAGTCGTTCACCGCATTGCTGGAGGAGGGTGTCGACAACGCCGCCACGGAGCTTGTGGACTTGGATTTCGGATTGTGCAGCGGGAGTGGTGCAAGTGGTCCGATCCACGGCGGAGGGGTGGTGGGATCGCCAACGTTGGGAGGAGGATCGTCCCGTGTCGGTGAGCCGACGAATGGGTGTCGTCCACCGGTCCCGAGTTCCATGGGCGCCGGGCCACTTGGCGAGTCGTCAAGGGCAGTGACACCCATCCGCCCGTCGGTGTCTTCGCCTACAATGCGGCAGAGGGCGACCGCAAGTGCTGCAATCAATGATGGGACTCCACCGGAAGACATCGGCAGGCAGGCGTGGGAGAACTGCCGCCTACAAATGCGGCGTGCTGCCATGGAGAACATAACCACTGGTGTGTCCAGGCTTCGTGTGGGGAGCGACGTGGATGCGGACAACAGCCGTCGGGCGAGTGGGGACGAGTCTCCGGATTCCCGTTACGAAGAGGACGCGGAAGACGGTGAGGGGCTGGAGATCCGACCCGTGGCTGCGTGTGGTGGACGGAGGGGAGGACGCGGACGTTAGCAAAGGGGCGAGTCGCGTGGTGGCCGAGGATCGAGGGCTCCTGTGGGCGACAAGGGTGGCAAGCACCCAGCTTGGAGTGTGGAGGAGATGCTGAAGCTCGCTCGAGCGAAGCGGGATCAGCAAGCTCATTTCGAGGAATGCCACACAACTACGGCCGCATGCGCAACAGGGAGTGGGAGCTGCTGGACCTGCAGAAGCGGCTGGTGGAGGTCGGCGGGACAACGTCTTCCAGCAGTACAAGAAGGTGCAGCGTTACCAGAATATGTCCGGCGGGAAGAACTTCCTCACATTGACTCCTGCAACGAGAGCGGACGAGGGTTTCAACTTCCGAATGGATGAGCGAGTCTTCAATGAGATCGACAACATGTCGAAAAATAACAAGACCATCTACCCGGACAACGTGGCAGACACGAGCGCACGCGGAGGAGTGCCGCCAGCAATGGATGGTCACCGCCAGGCGGTCGTTGGTGGAGAGTCCTCTGCTGGTGGAGAGGGGGGTGATGGCATTGACGAAGATGTGGGTTCAGCGCTTGAGACGGGGTTCAGTGCAGGGAGCACGGGCACTCCAGCGAAGAGGAAGAACATGCGGCAGCAGACCTTCGACGCCATCGCCGAAGTCATGGACAAACACGGTTCATTGATGGCAGACACAGTAGAGGGTGCGAGCAAACGGCAGTGTAGCATCCTGGAGCGGCAGTGTGACATCCTCGACCGGGAGGTTGAAGCCCAGAAGCGCCAGTGTGACATACTGGAGAGGCATTACACGGCGTCCGATGAGGCGAACAAGATGATGTGCACGACATTGTTGGAGATTGCCAGAGCGATAAGGGATAGATCTTGACGTCGGTGGCATGAGGTTTGTCAAGCCGTTGAAGTGGATTCGCACGTGATCTGGCCCGCCGCGAAATGTGGTGGCGGTCCTCCGAACGACGACATAAATCCAGGAAACAAGGCGGGGGATGGTGTGCGCGATGGCCATGTACCCTCGCGCGCTTCGAAATGTCGAGTCGCTGGATCTCCAGGGCAGGGCCGTCCATTCCCCGGACCGCATTGTCCCTGGGTATTTGGGGTGGTCTCCCCCCATGCGGAATGGGTGATCGTCGCTGTCGTCGCGTGGAGGGGTGTGCTGGAGGTCGTCCGGGCGGGATCTGTGCGCTGAGGGAGGGGAAATGTCACCGCGAGCACTATAAAGGTCCGCGCGAGCGCTATCTTCTCGCAGTCTTTTGCTTGTCGACTGCGCGCAAGGGCACGCGTGGGGTTCCCGTTGTGCTGCGCGGGGAACTGAACATCACCCGTGCAAGACGATCCCTGGCGACTTCCTCTCGTGCGCTGCGGTAGTCCGTTTTCGTTCACTGGGCGTGCGCATCCGACCGTCAGCGAATGGCGCCACGTGGCCAGCAGAAGGCGAAACGTCCACACGGCGAGTGCAGGGCAAATAGGAAGGGGCCACATCCCAAAGTCGAAGAAGCTCCTTGAGGGAGACGGGTCGGAAGGAGAGATGGGGGGTGACGGGGGAGAGGAGGAGACGCCTATGGACATCACTTCTAAAGGGACACCTGTGCTCGGGTTTGGGCGTGACGGTATGAGCAGGCAGCGTATGCTTGCGCTCACCAACCTTGGCGTCCCGACGTCCACGCGCGGCGGCGGTGGCGGGATGGCTCGTGCGCAAGGAGTTTCATCCGGTGACATTCCGCCGCAGAGGGCCGTGGGTTCTGCATCCACCATCTCATCCATGTTCGAGCGCGGCGAAAAAGCTCCGGTAGGTGAGTCTCCATCGCGCCACGTGGAGGCGTCGAACCCGACGATCGTCGTCGCTTCGCCGAGGGATGTGCTTCAATCCGCGCAAGCAGCGAGCGCCGCTGGTCATGCCGCCGCCGTCGGTGTTGGAGAAAGGCGAGAAGATAGGAGGGTGGAAGAGGCGGGGAGAAAACAGGAGAGGAGGGAGGAGACTCCGCGCGGGGAAGAWGAGGACGACCAGCCTCTGAGCGCGAGGAAGAAAAGGTCCCGCCAAGAGGAGGAGTTGGAGGCGAAATCGAAGCTGTGGGTAGACGGCAAAGCGTTCTGGGCAACCGGCCCCGGACCGATGATCGCGGACGCGGTGCATTCCTGCGCGGACTACTTCTGCGCGATCGTCAATGGAGATGCAGGCGCCAGCGCTCCGCAAGGCCTCATGATGCCGCCCCCC